AAAACGATCAAACGAACAAGAATAGAATGCATTCTTATTACTTTAATTGAAAACAAATTTAACATATCATTGTTAAAAATCATGTATCAGAAGAAAAAGTGACAAAATTCAATAAGGAAAAGCAAAAAAAAAAAAAGAAAAATTGATCAACACATCATTATAGTGAATATCCGTTACGGAAAGAAAATATCAATGTTACAATAAAAATAGTAAATCAAATAAAATTTTAAGAAAAAACTTTCTTTTATCCATTAAATATTCTTCTTACCTATTTCATATTCTCAGAGATATTGATCATATATAAGGAGGTCTCAAATTTATTCGACCAAATTTTTCTTTCAATTTTTTTTTCGATGTCGTAAACACTAAGAGTGAAACGTCTTTCAATTTTCTACAATATTATTAGATTAAGATACATCAACTGGAATCAAAAGAACAGAAATAACGACTTTTACGGCTTCAGTACTGTTGATGTACCTTAATTGCACAACGTAGGAAAGATTTTTTTTTAGAAAATTGTTTTCTTTATCATTCTACGGAAGATTTTCTAGAAACTCTTCTGTTGGAAAACTAGAACTGATATTGTCTTTTAAAATTCGTGCTATAAATAAAATTCTTTATTTAAATCACTATGTTGATCCTTTCTAGCGTTTACGGAATCGACACGAAACTATTGATACTAAACCTGGTTGAATAATTTTGAAAATCTTATCAACCTAATCATCATTAAATTTCATTAATATAGTAAAAAACACTTCATATATTCATATAGTTGATTTTTTTTATCAGGTGTAAACATATAGATAGTCTCGTTCAATGAATGTGATTATTAATAGTCTTATGAAAAAATGATATATAAGGATCAGACCTCCTAATCATGTCTGTAGAGTTCGAAGACCATCTGGAAACACAGACAACTTGTCAAATGAAATTGAACAGTAGGTAGTGAGCATGAATTGGTGTATTGTTACGCTACTAATCAATTTATACGCGTGTTTATGTACGAAATGTAATTGACAGTAATCAAAATCAGTTTAGTAAAAACTCGACAAATACAATAGAATATATATATGCCAATGGCTAAATTTTGAATTTAAAAAATTCACCAATAAGCTTTATTTTCATTTTAATACAAGATTTACCATGGGTAATATCGTTGGACAAGAACTAACAATCTCTCTTTTTTCTTTACGTTCTTATTTATCACATTAGTAAAGATTTGCTTTTATAAGTAATATATTTATCTCTAATCGTCAATTATAACTACTCAATTTAAGTTTTTTTTTTGTATTAAATAGACAAAATAATTCGATTATAATCTGACAAAAACTTTTTTGTTAGAATGATATGATTGTGAAATGTTACATATAGATATATTCTAAAGAAACAAGAACTATCTAGATAACATTAAGAATTCTATATATAAAGATGATTCATAAATCTATCCCATACAACATATCGTTTTAATACGAATAAACTGAGCATGAGAGAATATAGAAAAACAGAAATGAAAAATACACATACATATATATATATACATCGATCTATAGAAAGAAAAATCATGAGATATAAACCCTTACATGATCTAGTTCGCTATAGTCATATATCGCAAACGAGAGGCACGTGTTGTGAGCATCATCTACAAGTGTAGGGTCTTATTTATTCTTCGTTTTTTCTTCTCTTTTGAATATAACATATATACCAACAATATCTCTTTGTTTTCTTTATTCTTCTCATCAGCTGTTTTGATATTTCAGTCAGTCGGTATATATATGTATATTGATATTGACATATATTAGGTAAGAATGATCAAGATATAATTGATGTTATATCAATTATGATTTGTCATTAACTTTCAATAGAAATATAATTCTCATTTGAAATTGTTTCTCTTCTTCTCTCTCTCTCACTCTTTTCATTCGAGATTGTTTTAAAATCATTTTTCTGTTTTACATCGTTTTATTAAATAACAAAAAACATTTCAAGAAAATAAATAATATATACAATGAATCGTATGAAATATACAATTAAACAAGAACCTGATGCATTAGATTTAACAAATCGACCACAACATTTATTATCACCTTCAATTGAAAATGAAGATGATGATGATGAATATTTACCTAGTGAAGATGAACAACATACGAATAATAAGAATAATAATAATAATAGTCAGCAAAAAAATAATTTTCATATAAAAGTAATTTTTTATATTTAAATTCTTTCTTGATTAATTGAATTTGTTTTATTTTAGAAAACAACTTATGATAGTGGTTTTATTGATACTAGTGATGAAAATAATGACTTGACTATGGTTAAACAAGGTAATTTATCTGAATAAACAGTAGAACTGATATTGTAGTAACTTTCGATAGAAACGAAATAGAAAGCTGTGATGTTCAACTTTAGACAGAGGAGATGAAGACTCATAGAATTGTATATTAAAAGATCTTTTGAAAAGCAACGTCCCATGTCAAATGAAAATAGGCAATGTTTAACAATCAAGTATGTATCTGAATTGTCAATGGGAGATCTACAAGTGTCAGATTTTTAGATTTAGTTATTCAGAATACATAGATATTTAAGTTAAAATTCTCGATTGATTTTTCTGACACTTTTGATTAAAAAAAAAACACTTCAGAAAACATTGTAGGACAACCTCTAATATATAATTCAATGTGATTACATTTCCTTTTTTCAACGATGAAAACCGCAATATTCTATCTTATATCTATGAACAATTATTCAAACAGTACTCAGTCACTTTCTTTTTTTTTCTTCTGATATGGACATTAATTACTAAGTTGATTATGTTATTTATATGTTCATAGAACGAAATCGTCATCATTATCATAGTACACCATTACGATCTCAACAAATACATTCTCATATACGTCATCCAAGTACAAGTAGTAGTACATGTTCATCTCCAACAAATCAAGAACGATCACATTCACCTATTGATGATAAAGAATGTCGAAACACAAGGTAATAGAAAAAAAGTTTTTCGTTTTCAAATAATTTATTTGAATATTAAATAGATTTCTTGGTAGTCGAGCTGTTGCTGTACTTAATCATTGGTTTCAATCAAATCGTGATTATCCATATCCGGATGATGAACGTACTGATCGTTTAGCTCGTGAAGCAGGTATAACACAAAAACAAGTTAAAAAATGGTTTGCAAATAAACGTGTACGAAGTCAAATGTGCTATAAACCATTATATCGTTCTCGAAAAGTAAATAATTATTGATCTTTTTTTTTTTTTTATTTTACTCAACATTTTTTTTCTATAATTTTAATTATAGTCTCGTAATTCATCTGCAATTCGTCAAAATCAAAATCAAGTACCATCAGTTGTATCAACACCATCATCAGCAGCAACAACAACTACACAAACTCGTGGACCACAAACAAATTATAATTATATTATTAATCATAATAATATAGCAACACCAACATCAATATCCGATTTTAGTAATGTTTTTCCAGGTCCTAATCCTTCTCCATTATTTAATCCAATGGCTGCTTCAATGATGATGTTTATGATGCAACAACATTTAATGACAACAATGATGGCTGCTGCTGGTTTACCTCAATTATCTTCAACACCAATAGCACCTACAACACCAACATCACCGACAAATTCTTCAACAACACCAAAGAAAACAAATGTTGATCGTATTACAAGATTTTGGTTATAAAATAAAAAAAAAGATACTCAAATAGAACATCGCACAGATACAAACATACGTTTAGACATTTTGTTTGTTTGAATCATTGTGCTATGTCTTTGTTATTGTTGTTATTATTGTTGTGTTTTGTTTTCTATTATACTTTGCTTCATTTTTTTTTTCTTTTTCGCATTACATTGAAACGAAACAACTTGTGTGCGTTTTGTGTGAGAGCGAAACTTTTCTTTGCGATTTTTTATCTATTAAAACTTATGAAAAATTTTATTCTAATCTTACTGCATTCGAATGGATAATCTATAGTACACAAGTCTTTGCATAAAATATTTGTTCATTTTTCAAACACTAAAAGACAACTGCTTCGAGTTAAAAACAATTAGTTACAATCAGAATTTTTCGCTATTTTTAAATATGTGCTCAGAGTTTCCTTCTGAGCTTTGACTGAACAAGTTATGAGTAAATTTTTTGTGAAAAGTTTCAAAATTGTATCTGTTCAAATTAAAATAATGATTTTGATGCAATATTTAGTTTGTGTTTTGGAACAGTTGCAACTCAATACTAATGTATTCTATGCCAAGTGAGATATTGCAATAACCGAGATCTGATCTGTACGTTTCCGCTTGAAATCTAGTTTCTATGGAAATTACCATTGGTAAAAAAAAAGGTTGTTTTAAAGTCACCGATGAACTATAATAGTGTTCTGGATAACGATTAAAACGTAGTTATTTTGAAATAATCTCATGATAATTGTCCATACTTACTTCAGAAGAAAATTCTGAATGTATATTTGAAAAGAGCGAAAATTTGTGATTCTAAGTAAAAAGTTATGGTACGAAAAAACTGTGTTTAAGTAGTTCAAAAAATGAATGTATCGTGCCCTAGGTTATTGTCATTTATCCTTATGTTTCAATTAAAATTACCTGTATATATGTAACAAGTTAAAGAATGTTGTAATATATACAAAAAAAAAAACTTCGAAACAAATCGTTAGACACTATGACGTCATTTGTTTGCAGCTGTATGATTTGTTGCCTGTTTTATAGAACAGAGTTTTGAATAGGCAATTTCTTTCTATCGTCTCATCTATTGATTTGATTTTCGATTGAATATTATTGAGATAAACTGAATATGTTAGTTTCATCAACTATATTATACAATATTTCAATTCAATACCATATTGTATTCTTGTTTTTTCTTTCTTCTTCGTATCAATTATGATTAGTAAGTTTTGAAAACAAAGAATGATATTAATAAAAGTCTTTTTTATTTTTATTTTTATATTTCATTGAAGAAAATTTTAAATAAATTTTCAAGCTTCTTGTAATGAATGAACAAGTTGTCTATAACGATTATCATCTTTTGCTGTTGTTTGAATATGAGTATGTCGTTTTTGAGCACTTCGTTTTCTTAATTCTACTTCTTGTTTATGTTTTAACACTTGTGATGAATGTGGTGCACCTAAGATTTCTAACATCACTGGTTGTTTATATAAAAAATCTTGATGAATTTTTTCATTAGCTATCATTGAATTTTCTCTTGTAATTGTATTATTATTATTATTAGTAGTATATAACGATGTCATTTTTGTTGGTGAAGAATTTTCTGATGGATAAATACTGGGTAAAAATAAATGACTTGTTCGGTTTGATTCTGTTGCTTGTCGATTCCACATTACTCTACATGTATCACGATATGATTTATCAATAGTAAACCATTGATGACGTTTTGTTAAAAGATCATGTGCAAAAACATGATCATTAGCAAAATGTCGACGCATTATATCACGATTATCATGTTGAATTCGATCTAATTTACGACGTACTTCACGTCGATAATCAAATTCAGATTTAATAAGAATTTTACAGTATAAACTTGGTAGACGAATAGAATTACTAGTCTTCTTTTTACTAAAAAACAAAAGGTATGATATTTTTTTTAAACATATAATAAAAGAGCATTAACTTTATAAGAAATTTTGCTTTAAAATTAATTGCATAAAATGAATAGAGAGTTGATATACTACTTCATTGAATAGACTAAATTATTTTTCTTGATTTTAAACTCAAATTCAAGAAGAAACTCTATTTAAAGTTTGATTGTTTCTTTATTGAAAAATAAAAAAAACAAAATTTTGAGATGAAATTTTCAAGTATCACTTTCAATTTGCATTTCACTCAATGAAAATTTATAATTTAGTATTGACAAATTTAATGATTTGATCTTCTAATAATAAGTCATTATCCAACAACTTAATCAAGCTTAAATAATGAACTATTTAATGAAAGGATATATACATATTTTATTATCTTTCTGTAAAAAAAAACAAGTACATTGTTTTTGTATGTCATTCAACAAAAAATATATATCCATTGCATCATAATTTTCATATTCAAATTGTAAATAGCTCATTGTATCATATTCATCAAGATAAAAAAGAAAGAACGTTTTTACTTACGAATTCATTCTTATTAATAAAAGTTTAAAATGTCTTTTTTTTCTTTAGTAAACCAAACGAGAAAATAAAATCATTAATAATTTTTGATTCAATCAATATTTTTATTTCTTCGAATCCATCATATATTTATCAAGATAAGGAAGAAAAAAAAAACACATTATAGATTAGTAATGAAAAGCTGCTCGATAAAAACGACAATGTTTGACATAGCAAAAATCACACGCGTTTGGTCAATTGTTTTGTTTGTTAAAAAAATAAAAATAAAAAAAAAAAGAATTCACTAAGCGATCCTCTTATTATAAGTGGGGAAACAGCAAAAACGCGTTGATAAAAAACAATAGCAACGAAAGAAGAAAAGAAAATGGTCTCGAAAAGAAAAAAATAACAAAAAAAAGAAGACGACGACGAGAAAAAAAACATTGCTCCTATTTTTTTTTTAATTCAAAAATATAAAATACAAATTAAATTTTTATATATTGAGAATTCATCAATATTTAATAGTTGATATAATTCAGTTAATGATATATACCACTGAAAAATATTTGTTTCTATGATACATCTATTCTCTTGAAAGTTAATTGAGAAGCCCCTTTTATTTACTTATTGTAATATTTACACTGTCCGAAAAAAGTTTAAATCTATACATAAAACTTACGTTTTTTTTGTGGATATATTTGTCTGTCTTAAATTAACTTGTGTTGACATTAGAATAAATATAATTTTAATTGTTAAGAAGTCTTTGAAATTTAAATGAATTTTATAGTTTTTTATGAGATGCTTATGAAACAAATTGTAAGACATATTGAAAAGATATGATAAAAACTCAACAAATTCTCTTCATATGGATAATATTTACATCTTTGTATATTTCAAAAGAAAAATATTCATAGATTATTTAGCAAGGAAAACGATCGAATATTTTCGTTTCTAAATTCTAATTAAAACAAAATACATGCATCTCAATGTTGGTTGAATTATTTTCTTTCGAGAGAATGAATGATTAAGTGATGAAATATTTGAAATTAGTAAAGAATAGAAAAAGTTCTCATTTGTATTTTGTAATTTCACATGATAGTTTATCATCCGACATTTTTTTTAATCATTCGTTTGATGTTTGTGGATAGGATGTAAATAGCAATACGATAAAATATAGGAATATCTACACTTTGTATTAATCGAATGATATAATGTTTCTTTTTTTTTGGTGATTGAAGATTGTTTGTACATTTTATTCTTAAAAAAATGTCAAGAAATATTACTTTGATTTAACACCATTAACTAGTTTTGTTCAAGATGTATAATTTTTCTCTAAATGAAATCGTACTAGAAATATTGTTCATATATGTGTTTTTCTATTGATAAAATAAAAAAAAAAATTGTTGTTTGAATCTATGAAAATTCAAACTAGTTGTTCCTTTTAATCGTTTTCCTAATGAGTGTATGTCTTTATCCAAATGAAATACGTCATTCTCTCTCATTCTTTTCTGTTGGTTTCTTGAACTTTAAACATAAACTTAACTTGAAATAATAAATGCCTGGATCAGTATAGAATGAAAGAATATCAAAAGCAAAGAAGAATATGTTTTACAAGCTTCTCTCTAACGTATATTTGACAAGATAAAAATTTTATTAGTACAACAAGCTCTTCCATATGTATATCACATGTGAACGGAAAAAAAAACACTGGATGATCACAAGTAGAATGTCCGTAAACGAATAGTGAAAAACAAAAGAGACACGTCGTATGGGTAAGTAAAATTTTCTCTTGTTTCTTCTTCTCTTCTATTGTTTATTCGTTTAAAACATTGGATCATTTATTTTTAGTAATGGATTCGTTTCTATTTGATTTTAATACTAATTCAACTTTCACAAATGATACAAATAGTTCACATAGTGAGTTGGATTGGACAGCATTTCAATCAACATCACCATTACCAACTACAAGTAGTCCATTTACACCATTATGTTTATCACAACAAGATGATGCTGTTGCACCAAATAATCAATCAACAATAGTAAAAACAACACATGATGATGAGATTTATTTTGAAATAGAAAATTTTTTTAACGGTTTCATTCAACAACAACAACAGGCACATTCACAACCTATAGAACAAGAACAACAAGGAGTCATAGAACAAATACATACTGCTAATATAAATATTTCCCATCAAACAATGAATGATAGACATCATGTTGAAACATTTGTAAGCGAAACTATCATTCGCATACTTCTTATTTTATGTCAATGAATAATATATTTTTAGTCTCGAACACATCAATCATTATTTATTAATGAACGACTACCGGCACCACTTGTACCACGTGTTTCTTCATCACGTTCAAAATCTTATCATAAATTGCCTGATCATGCTGTTAAATTAATGCAAGAATGGTTAATAATAAAAATGTTATTCTTATTAGTTTGTTTTATTTTAATTTATTCTATATTAAGGTATAATGCTAATTTGGATGATCCTTATCCGCGTTCACCAGATAAAAAACGTTTTATGACAGAAGGTAATATAACAGCTCAACAATGTCGTTCATGGTTTGCTAATCGACGTCAACGACTTAAACATGCTAAAAGAAATCAATCAAAATCAATATCATCACGTTTAAATCATTCATTAAAGGCCAAGTAAAACTAAAAGAATTAAATTTACACAACAAACTTCAATGAAGGGTTGGTTTTTTTTAAGATTTACTGAAATACAACCAATAGAAGCACACCCTATAGCACATGAACATTGTTATTATTGTCAACAACAACAACAACAACAGATAACTATATCATCATCACCTCTTTCATTAACAATACCAACAACACCTATGACAACAACACCAACAACATTAAATGTTGTTATTAATCAGCAAACAGTAGAACAATTGATTCATAATAGTCTTCGTAAATTGCTCTATCCATCGCTTATATGATAGTTCATTGTTTTGTTTATTTCATGTTTCTAGCGCATTAAAACAAATTTCAGTTTTTATGTGTGTGTGTGTCTATGTTATTTGTTTGGTTTTTTTTATGTCATTTTTCTTTAGTCGAGTTTTTTCTCGTCTTATGTTAATAACAGTCATCTTGCTTATCATTAATCAAGAGTAGAACCATTTTAGACATTGTTTTTTGTTTTCTTGTCGTATGCTGTTAACATGTGTTTTTTTATCAAATATGATGATCAAAACAATACTCCGTTATTCGTTTGAAAACTGTAAAAAAAAAACAAATGTTCGTTTTTGTTTTAAACATAGAACACAGTTCGATTGTGATTGACTGTGATTTTGATTTTTAAAAAAAAAAACATTCTTTTTCATAATAGAAAAGAAAAAATAAAATCTATTCACTTGTTTTTTATTTTTTATATTAAAGTAAATAATTTGAATCATTCAGAAAATCGTTCTAAGATCGATTGTAGTTCATCTAATATCTCGAAAAAAAAAATTACATACTTATGTTAAGAATATTTTTCTTGCTAGATAAATGTTTTTAGAATTTTCGAGTCTCTAATGTTCAGTGTGATATTCTCAACGTCTTTTTGAATCAAAACAAATCAATACTATAGTCTTCACTTCAATAATTTAAATCAGTAGTGCATAGTGTGCATAGCTATGAAAGTGGTACAGTGTACCATCAGACGGACATTAAATAGTAAACTGCTATCGATGAACAAAAATCAACTTTTGACAAAATCAAAGCGCTTACTAGGCACACTCAGTAAATATTATGAATCTACATATTGTCTAGCGTTGAGCATCGAAGAAATCTTTTCTTTCGAATATATGGTGTTTGAGAAAAACAAAAATGAAATTTTTTTTATAAACTATTTGTCAGAATGGCTGAACTCAGTAGAAGGAACGCGTGTTTCTCAGCGTCAATTAGAATTCGCTCAAACGTTATTAGAATATTCTATTCTTTTTCTCTCTGTCATCACAGTTAGCATGGACACTATTGAGCGATACCACAAGTTTTCCAAAAATACTTGGTTTTTGCACTAAACTTCTTTTAGTTGTTCAGATTCCAAAGCATTTCTATTAAAAATCAATAGTATACTGTGAAACAGCACATGAAACTACATCGAATAATGTATGATACAAGGCATTTTCTAACTGAAAAATTTTCGATGATATATAATGAATCATAAACATAATTAAACGATCAATCAACAACATTCTCGGTCAGTTTGTTGATATATCTTGATAGAGTTCTCGTAGTAATAAATTTTGACTTAGTTAATTTAGAATTGTTCTTATTGACTTTGATCATCCCATTGATCGATATGTAACTTTTCCAATTTGTGGCAGTAAAAGCAAATCGTTTTAATAAAGTGAAGATATGTTTTGAAGAAAATTATTTTGTATGCAATCATAGAAAGGATAATACATTTTTAAAATATTATTTTTTTTTATGTCAGCTAGATATAGTCAACGAAAATCAACGTCAGGAAAAAGTATTGATAACGGACTAGACGCTTTTTTTTCGCAATTTTCCTTATAATGGTCCGTTCGTACGGAAATAACGTCCTAAACACACAATTGTTTTAGGATTTGGCTTGTTTTGAAGTGTCGAGATAACTAAAACGATAGAAAGTTAGGCACCAATTTTGCTGCTCATATGTACAACAGTTGTGGATATAGATGATTAAAGATATTATTCTTCGTGATGACGCACATTAGACTCCACTAAAGTTGGAATCAATTAGAAAAAAAAGTCAATGTCAAATATTGACTGGCTAATCACCGATCACACAAAAATACACTGTTATTTTGCATCCGCGATTAATTAAAAAATTTACATTGCTCAACATAGAGGCATAGTACGTTCGATAGGGCACTACTTGCTCTACGACTATGATATTATAGAATTCTCAGCATTTTTTACATGGTGAAACTATTCACTAAACTTTGTTCAGTAGTATTTTTATTGATACTTTTATGAGAAAACATACCATATGACAACTAAGAAAATGTTATTATTTTTGAGAATTGCTTTCGCAAATGAAATATTGAATAAAACTAAAACTAAAATTAAATCAAAAATATAAGATGATTCGGTTTTACCTGAAAACAACTGTGATTTAAACAAGTTAAAAGGTTGCATTTTCTAATCCTTTTTAATCCATAATGAATTCATGTGTTGAGTATTTTGATATTATCACAGAAATGACGGCATGTTTTCAAATTTGGAGATGTCTCATTAGATAGTGAACACTACAAGTTACAAATTTCTACTAATTCAATATTCACTATACAAAATAGATAAAACGTAGTATTTCATAAAGTTAAAATTTCAAAATTTCAGCTTTCTAGTTGAAAAATATATTTTGGACTTAGCGTTTGAAATGCAAATGACAATATAATTATTTTAGTAGTAGATGAAAATCTTATGCAGTAGGGTTTTATGACGTTAAGTTGTCAAATATAAATAATATGGGGACTGATTTTGCATTGATCTGAATGTGTCCTACTTTTGGATATGATCACCGATCGTGCTCGTAAAGGATGTGCAGTCTCTCTTCAAATCGAAAAACAGACTTCGACTTTATATTGAGAACAACAATCAGGGTCGAAGAAATTCTTTAACAATAATATGTTTCTCTTATCTAGTTAGATTAAGGTTATCAAAGTAGTTCATAACTAAGTGAATGATACGGTTATTAAAGTTCTAGATAAAAATTCATAAATCACATTAGATACAGAGTTCGTTGTTTTATCAATTGATAGATTTTTCGAAAATCTACTTTGTATACTTTCGAAACTTAAAAATCAATACTAACTTGAAGTATGGCTGAACACACTGTTCTCAGGGTTGCATGTTACTATTTTCTGTATCCAGTCAGCTAACCATAGAAGAAAACTAAAGTCTATTCTGTAATTTATGTATTAGTCGGGAGTATCAATCAAAATTCATTAATTTAATATGCTTTTAATACTCTTGCGTGTCATTTTCGTCGGATAATGTACCTCTGGTCGTCGTTGTGCTGTTGGAAAACATATACTGTCTGTGAAAATAGTATTTTTATAATTCAGTCGTTGGTCAGTTTGCATCTACGGCTACTCTGTTACATTGGACCTTTCGCTCGACTGAAAATATGCGAATATCAAGAAACTTGGTTTTCTGTGCTGAACATCATTTTGAAGTCAGCCTTTTTGCTTTCAAAACAAGAGATTGTAAGACTTATATGTGGAAGATTAATCGTCACGAAGACGAGTAGCCCGCATCGCGCTCAATATTAGCTCGGTTCCTATATGATTTGTATGAACTTATTTAACGTAGAAAAATGTGTTGAGAAGAGTAGTTTATTAATCAAACCACAAACATACTATTACATGCATTTCAGACGATAAGTTTCAAATGTATTCTTCAGTTAGAAAGCTGAAATTTTGACAATTTAACTTTATGACATACTACGTTTTATCTATTTTGTATAGCGAATATTGAATTAGTAGAAATTTGTATATTATAGTGTTCTCTATCTAATGAGATATCTCCGAATTTGAAAACATGCCGTCATTTCTGTGATAATATCAAAATATTCAACACACGAATTTATTATGGATTAAAAAGGATTAGAAAATGCAGCCTTTTAACTTGTTTAAATCACATTTGTTTTCAGGTAAAACCGAATCATCTTATATTTTAGATTTAGTTTTAGTTTTAGTTAGAATATTTCATTTGAGATAACTAAAATAAAAAAATAAAAGCATTTCCTTGGTTGTCATAAGGCATATTCTGTCATGAGAGTATTAATGAAAATACTACTGAACAAAGTTCACAACATAGTTTCGTCGTATTAAAATTGGCGAGAATTTCGTAATATTATGGTTGCGGAACAAACGACGGTCCATCAAATACATTATACCACGAGATTGAATTATCAAGCATTATTGAATGATCGCTGACGGAAAATAACACTATAAATTTGGACGATAAGTGATCAGTCAGTGTTTATTTGACAATAACTTTTGTCTTTGTAATTCAATCCAATTGCAGTAGAGTGTGACTGTGGCTATGACTGTGGTTATAGCAGTGGATACACACGACAATTTAAGACCGATACTCACACTCATACCCTAATTTACACTATAGAAAAATGCGTGACTGTCTATCCTGATGACAACGGTCAAATAGAGCACGAGTACGTCGATATAAATATTGACATTTATAACATGTGCAACATAGATAGGGGTGTGAATGATCATGGAAATTTCATGTTTTCAACTGAACGATTTACCTGATGAAATTCTTCTGGTTATTTTAAAAAAATTGGCTAATATGGAAGTACTTTATTCTTTATTAGGTGTCAATAAACGATTAAATAAAATTGCATAAGATTCTCTTTTTACAAATTATTTGACCTTTCTACAGTCGTCATCGAATGGTTTTGTTGATTCATTAGTTGATCCAATACTTAATCGATTTTGTTTATATATTTTATCTGAAATTCATCAAAAAATCAAGTGATTTGCGCTTGAACCACTATCAACAGAACGTATTCTTCTTGCTACAAATTATCCTAATTTATATGGATTTAGTTTATATAATCTTCAAGCAGAAAGAGCTATACATATTTTTACTGGTAAGGTATTTTACTTTTATTTTTCCAATCATAGACACATTAAACTTATAAGCCAAATAAATTCATGAATAAATTTCTTATTTCAGTAAATAGATGATTACAGATTTTACCGAGTTCAAAATAATTTGTTTTTTTATTTGTATTTGTTAGTATGAAGAGAAGAAGGTTATCATCAAAAAGATCATTTTCCATAAAACTTAAGTATTAATATAAAAATAAAAAGCGTAAATATTGTCTACAATTTAAAGTTTTAAACAAATTTTTTAAAAAGAAAATATAGAATAAAATCGATGATAACGTTTATGATTGTGATATAATACAACATTTAAGATGTAATGTAAACGAATAAAGAAACAATATATATAATCAAATAAAATATTTTTCTCAACAAATTTTTAGATGAAACTTCTGTAATTCGTACCTTTAGAAATTCAATTCAGCATTTCTTATCAACATGAATTCAAATGAAATACAACATTTTTCAACAGATGATATTAATGAAATTGTATTTACACATATCTTTACTATGTTCAGTAATTTACAATATTTAAATTTTCGTTCATCTTCAATTTGTCATGAAAAGTTATCAATTCCTACTTCACTCTGTAATGTCGTTTCTACAAATTTGGTAGAATTGGGTGTGGGTGTGGGTGTGGTGGGTGTGAGTGTGAGTGGAAAGATGATCCGAATAATCGTTTTCATTTCTATAACACTCACACCTTGAGTTCCATATTTTGGCTCCGAATCAGATAGCACTGATATGGTTCTTTGACTTATTTTCAATCGCGTAGTTCACCACCATACTTGAGACAGTTTTTTGTGCTGTCTTTGAGATGAATCTAGGACACTTGCCCGCCGGACAGATGCTCACAGGACACTTGCTCGTAGGTCACTTGCTCGCGGAGGACACATGCCGGCAGCGGACACTTGCCCGCCGGACAGTTGCCCGTGCGGGGATACTTGTCCACAATTCACCAGGATACTTGCTTGGTGACGATTTAGGAACTATAAACTTATTACATTATTGAAAAATTACTGCATCTTATCAACAGAGTTATGTGAACTAGTGATATCAAACTATCCTCCAATAATCGTATGACTTCTCAAGGATCTATCAATACTTAATCCTCATGCTTGTGTTTGTGTCTGTTCGTATTCCTATCTTCCATTTCTTTCGACAAACCATTTTCTTTCTATTCTATATCGTTTTCCTCACTCATTCTACATAGCTTGGTTCTAGAGTTAGGTTGTGCACATCCGAACATTTGGAATTCCGTTGAAAAACGACCAATCGATGATCGAAGTCGAATTAATCCAAACCTGAGTCGGGATTAGACGACTGAAATATTTGGTGAAACAACACCAACAAATAATAGTTTTGAATATTTTGAATGAATAGTCGACAACAAATTTGGAAAAATAGTAGCACTAGCCGTTAACATCCTGGTCAAGTCGGCCAAACTTATTTTTCTTGAACTTGATAGTCCATTTGTTAATGACCCATATTATTGTAGGTTTCCATTTCTGCATTCTACTACTTATAAGATGTATATATAACTGAGTTGATAAAATGAATAAGATTTTGAAAGCAATGAAATTAGTCCCCTTTGTTTCGAAGAATAGTAGTGCGAATTTATTTTGCGGGTAAGTGTCATGCAGGCAACTGTCCGCTGCGGGCATGTGTTCTCCGCGGGCAAGTGTCCTACGAGCAACTGTCCCGCTGGCTTCTGTCCGGCGGGCAAGTGTGCGTATACCCTTTGAGATGTATCAGGAAATTATCTCCTTTCTTTGCCAAACTTTATGATAATAAATGAAGATTTGATTATCGCTCTGATACAGAAGTATAAGATGGTTAAACAATTTTACATGTTTTCTTCCGAATTTCCTATTATTTTGTTTCGAATTAATTAAATAGTTGAAGTCAAAAAAAATAGCTCAATCTTTCATACATGAACAATTTCAGATTAAAAAAGAATTCTAATTTTTATCCTGTTAGAAAGAGTGGAGAAAATGAAACTATGAAATCCTGCAAGTCATTTAAAAAAAAACAGTGAAAATCTTTGTTTTTCGTGGTAGTTTTAATTGTATTAAATTTGATTAATGAAGACATATTGTCTGATAAAACAATTATCCCTAGATATATGTTTACAAATCATCATCAAATCGAGAATCAGCAAATATAATCGTGAGTTTCGCTCGCGATTGAGGGTTTTCTTTTCTACAAAACAAAGTTGCAGAATGACATCTTATTTCACAAATATAACTACGTAAATTTGATTTTTAAAATAGAAAATAGTTCAATTACTTTATAATTAATAGGAGTGTTTTCTTGACAAGTAATATTTCTCTCAACATACAAAATTTCAACGATCAAAAACATTCTTCAATATTTCATCAGAACATATCAAATTACTTTTGTTTTTTTTTTTTTTTTATTGTAAAAGAAATTAAAATCATTTCTGTGTCATTATTTAAAGCCATGAAAAAAAAATGAGGAAAAAAATACATTTGTTTTTTATATGTAAAAACATACACAAAAGACAACAATACAATACATTTAGAGAAATATTCAAAGCCATATGTCCACATTGAATTAATCTTAGGAATGAATATTTTTTTTTGCACATAATTTTGTTATCTTATATGTATTATACACGTATTTCTTGAATAACTGTTCCATTTAATCCAGAAGATTTATTTTTAGTATAACTTTTCTTTGTTGAACTTGGATTTTTTTTCACGTTCACAATTCGAAAACTTTCTGTAATTAGAAATGAATTAATTGAAATGATAAAAATAAATACTATTTCTATATTGAGTCACACTTGTAAATAAAAATAATTATTTGTCTCAATATCTCAACAACTTATAGAACTAAAAGCAGTTCGATCAACTTGCATGGTACAATATGTTTATAAAGTTGTCAATTGATTTTTGAATATAAAACATGAGTTGAGCAATAGAATTCTTTTTTGTTCAAAGATTATGACATACTGCTTAAAAATAAATATTTGTACAAAACATACTTCTGAATGTATCAACGAATACTTATGAAAACCTTCTCCCTTCAAAAAGAAAAATCAATATCCGTTAACAAAACAAAAATTAAGCTGATTGCATAAAATGATAGCTTGATTTCTGATCTTTCATAAATGACATGTTTGTTTTATTTGATACCTCTTTCTTCGCCAACATTTGTGATGATATCTGTCATCATCACTGAAACAATATGTTATTTGCAATAAAAAAAAAAACGGAAAATGTTTTTCGCTTCATTGTAGCTGATTGCTTGTTTTTCTTTTTTTTAAAATAGCATGCCAAGATAAAGGGCATAACAGAAGCTTTATTACTAGTACATGAAATCGTACTTCTAGTGTTATAATTAGAGAACTATGTTTCGAGACATCTAACTTTTATATCCTTAAAAAAATGAGCTTTGCCGTGTTCTACATTCTGACATATACTTAAAAAAATTTAAATTTATAGAATGAAGAGCCGCATAGAATTTTAAATCATGGAATGGCCTATTTTGAACCCTTGTTTGTTGAATATCTTGCGAATGCATCATGAATTTAGAGTTGAAAATTATACTATTTCAAGAAAATCCGTCAACATCATTTTACGTTGTTGTTAGTTAGTTGGAATATACCGAACATTGTGTGAGAGGTGTATCACTTTCTTATTAAAAGCCTAAAGAAAATTTTCTTTGTGTATGATCTGACAGTAAATACAATGTTCTACATTTTTCTGATATTTCATCATTCTTCAACTAACATTATAATAATCAAATTTCGACAAGAGCGATTTATTATATGTGACGGAACTGTCTTTGTTCTTTTTTTTTCTTTTTCTTGTCTGTTCTAATCCCTAGTCGTCTATACATATTAGCATATAGAAAAAATAGGGGTGATGAAGCAAAAAAATAAAAATCGAAAAACAAATTTTCCAAATGGTAATTTTATTAAATGTTCGAAATAATCGTCCTTGTTATATACACTCAATTGCATTCGTTGAATCCATTTATCGAACGTTTTTTTTCTTCTAGTAATCTTCTTTATTCAAAGAATTCAGGAGTTTGTTAATAGTACCATACAATCATTACGGATCGTTTTGATCGCTTATATTTGATTTGATTAAGTTGAATAACTAAAAATCACATGATGCCCGATCCGAAGAATTGCCTGAGTAAAACTTGATGAACTTGCTTCTCGATTTCTTTTTTTTTATGAGACGAGAAGAAAAATATTAAGAAGAAGAAATACATCAGAGAGGCATTATGTAATCTAATATTACCGTCGCCTATAATAACAAAGAGCTCTTATCCAAGCTTTATTATTGTAATATTCGTTGAAGGACGATCAAATATCAGAGAAATATCGACTATGTTGTTTACTATCAGATCATCCAGAAAGAAAACTTTTTATAAAGAAATAAAATACTTTCACCACTAATTGTAATATAGAACACTAAAATTTCAAGGTTAAGATGTCTGTTAGATAATGATTCGATATAAACTAAGTTAGTATGTTGTGTAGCACATAAAAATAATAAGAACAAAAGTGAATTTGAACTCTAATTTTATATTTCTAAATTTAATGATAAATTTCAAACAATAACTTACCCAGAAATTCATTAAAATCAATTTTTCCATTTTTATCAAAATCCATAGCAGATGTCAATTCTTCAACATATGCTTCATTAACATCACCAGTACCATTTTCACCATAGAGAATAAGTTTAATAATATCAGCAAATTCATTACGACTTATAAAACCTAAGAAAATAAATTTTTATGAATTAGAAAAAAAAAATGTATATAGCAAACCTGAATGATTATAATCAATTAAATTAAATAAGGCTAAAAGCATATCTTTCCACATATATAAATCTTCCATAATACCGGCATTGGACTAAAAAATGAGAACAAAAAACAAAGAATGCATTTAAAATAATTAATCAATTGAATACCATTTGATATTTAGAATTATCTAAAATATAATCAGTAAACATAGTTTTATATAAAATTCCTTTTTCATCTTCTTGAACTAATTTTGATCGTAATATGAGCCATGGTAAATCCACTTGAAGAACATCAGACATAATATCAGCCCATGTAGTTAAAGGCAAGTGATCTATTTATAAAAAAAAATAATACATTCTGAAAAACAAAAAAGTTTCATACAAAAAAAATAAGCATTACCAGTTTTATTTTTGTCTCCTTTTTCAAATCGTTTAAGTAGTGAAGTTTTATTAGTCATAATTTTTTCAATTAATGAACGATAAACTGGATCTTCGAATAATGTGACTCTTAAAAATAAAACGAAGAGAATTTGAAATGATTTGACTTTTTTAAAAGTCTAATCATCGAATATCTTACTGTTTACTAAAACTTAATTTTTCCATTTCAACGGCTTCAGTTTTAAAAGAAATAATCCATGGTTCTTCTTCATTAAAATCCCTAAAAAGTGACTTTGTATAAGAAGATTCAGTTTTCGTTTTTTTTTTTAATAAAAACAAACCATCGTACAACAGCACCCCAATTAGAACCACCACAATAATTTGATGCACTAAAGACAGTTAGAACTTTACCATCATGTACATATTCATAACCATCTTGTTTCACTTGATGAGAACGTATTAACATAGATAAATTGTATTTTTTAAGAAATTGTTGAGTTATATCCGAACCAAAAAAACAAGCCATTTTTCGATCTTCATTTTTTCGACAACCTTTACGACCACGAGGATCTGGATCACTCCAAAATAAATCTATTTATTCAATAAAAGAAAGAAATCGTATGAATATGTCGGCTTAACTCCTTTTACACAACAATTAATAAAAGTAAATTCAACAAGAAATGGCCTATGTTGTTAATAATACATCAAATTAAAACTTACTCAAAATGAAGTTTCTGATAGTTCTTCTTGTATAATTCTCTCAATTAATTCATTTCATAGCGACTGATTTTCTATCATCCTTTCAATTGTATTTTTTCTTACATGTATCAACTCGTCAGATATACAAAGAAATTCCATGATGTTAACGGAACTAATCTTCAATTAATTCTCACTTATATAGATAAATTCAATATGTTATTGGAACTCAATGTCTCTGTCACACTTATTCATTAACCTTAGTATTCTTGTTTCATCGACGAAATCATTTTGCCAATAGGGAATCGATCATAACTACTAATAGATAAATAACTTGAATATCTACATGTCATGTTAAAATCAACTAGACTGACATATTTTTTTATTGATGATAGGTAGATTACTCGACATATTTGAAATGTATTTTGTTTTATTTCAATGAAATTATTCTGAAAATCTTCTTGCTTGTTTGCAATAAATCCATTTGAGAATATATTGTTCTTGGTTTTAGAAATAAAACCCAAGAAAAAATATCAATTCATTTAATTTACATAGCGTGCAGAAATTCCAATATTTAATCGTGTAGTTATTTATGTCTCATCGTGTATATGTTTGGATTATGTTTAAAATACACTAAACTTTCAAGCAGAAAAAACTAGCTTATAATAACGATTTCCGAAATTTTAGAGTCTATTTTAGCATCTATCCTATTGAACAAGCAAAGTGTACCTTCAACTTCATGATAAGATAAATTAAGAGTACAATTTTATACTTCGTGGTTAATAATATTTAATATGATGATTGAGGAAAAATGTTACTATTTTAACTCGTGCATTGAGTGAAGCAGAAAATTGATCTCTATTTTATCTCTATAGGTTTAGCTGCAAGTAAATAATAAATAATATACAGTCATGATTAATATACTAGAAAACATGTCTATTTTGTATTACTATAGAAAATATATTGAATAAAATACCCAGCAAAAACCTTATGGTAGGGACATAATAATATAAGAAGGATTAAATATTTAGAAAGAAACAATTGATTTCATACAGTATTTACATAAGTATATTCTGAAAAATATTTCTTTTTCATTTATTTTCGCCTGAAAGATAGGAAATATATCAAAAACAGAAATTTTATATACATAACAAAGAATAATTGAATCAATGCGGTTTCTTTTTTCTATAGATATTATTTCAAAGGGAATATTAAGTGATCGTTCTTCAATAGGCGACTTTTTTTTTCAAAGAGTATTTCAAAGAAAACCAAAAAATAATCATTCATCAAGTTTAATACTAAATATTTCCTAACAAAAAATAAATTCAAAATAAACTCCTCATTCAAAAATCGCATTAACCTATAAATTATACCTTGCATTTGATGATATTCATCATCTTCTTCTTCGGTTAATCTTTTCCCACCAGTTTTAGATTGTGGTGATACTTCTATTGAAACATCTGAAATAAGGAAAAAAAACAGCTCTACTCTTTTTAAATATCTATTAATTTTTTCTTGAAGCATACATCTATTTCTTGATAAATGATTTAGTTTTTTTAAATTAATTTTATCTGATATTCCACCATGCATTATAATTATTTTACATTTTCCAGCATCAACATAAGAATAAAGTGGTAACCAACTGAATATATCTTTAAATAGATCAATTAATGGTGCTTTACGTGTCTAAATATAATTAATTAATAGATTTTTTTTTTTATATATTCAAAAGTAAAACAAAAAAGAATTCATGATAACTAACTCGATATTTTTGATTAACTTCATTATAAAAACCATATCGAACAGTAACCATAATATCTTCATGATTACCTATTTAGTTTTCCGAATCAAAAATATTAATATTTGAACAAACAAAATCAAAGTTAAATAATACCTCGATTAAGAAATACTGAACTTGGATAAAGTATAAGTGCAACGAGAAGTAAAAGTAAAACTTCAATTGAATTTCGACCTCGATCAACAAAATCTCCATTAAATACATATGCATTGTCAATTGAAGGGAGTCCATTCTATTTAATAAATTTTCAAAAAAAAACAAAGAATTGTTTTTGTTTTTAATACGAAAAATAATTATAAAATAAATTTTTCTACCGAATTAAATATATGTAATAAATCAGCTAATTGTCCATGTAGATCACCAACAACAAATACATGTTGTAAATGAGATAGATCAATATGATTAAAATTTGGTAAAGTTTTAAGAATAGTACGTGCTTGATGAAGAATTTCACAGACATATTTTTCATGTAAAATCTGAGAGAAAAACAAAAAAGAAACAACTTTTTTTATAGAAAAATAAAAGATAAAAATCAAAATTGTTGACAGATGGTGATTTATATCTCTCATATTCAGTGCACTTGATAGAAAAAAAAGAGATTAATAAAGGATAGCAGAAAATTATTCTTGACAATGTGTTCAATTAATAGAAAAAATATTGAAGTAAAATAACATTATTTACTTTAAGATTACGATAATTATATATAAAAATATAAGAAAATGATTCTTTTTCTTTGGGATATTTTGTTTTTAGGTCATTATAGCTAAACATGCTAACTAAATCGTAGTATGAATACTTATAATTATTCGAATTATTCAAGAAATTTTTTTAGCTAAGTTCAACAAAAAATTGATAAAAATTATAATAATTTGACAGTATTTATTATTAATCATCGTTATTTTTCATTCTCTTTTGTTTTTTTAAATATAAATAATTGTGTATAAATGAAACAAAGAAAAATATTGAATAGTTTCTACATACTTGACCACGTTGAAAAGCTTCAATTAAATCAACAAATATTTTTCGTGTAATAGGCCCTTCTATATCTGAACAAAAAAAAAACAAAATTTATTTATTTTTAATTAATTAATTTTCAAAAATACATTACGTGGTCCTTGATAAGTTGATTCAACTCGAATATTCTCTGGGTTGGTTAATCTTAAAAGTTCTTTTTCTTCTAGACAAAAATAAAAAAACACAACAACATCCAATCTATTGTGTTATCCTTCAGGAAATTAAAAGTTTTCTATGATACCTTACCGACAGGTAATCCAGCTTTCTGAAGTAATTTAGTGACAGACGGTGAAAGAATATTAGATGCTTTGAGTAACTTTTCAAACATATCTTTGAGCTAAAACAATTTGATAATAATCATCAAATAGAAATATATTGTGTTTTACTTTAGCTTCAGTTTGTTCACTACAATATTCAAGTTTTTCATGTATTTGCCATGCAGCTTGTTTTTTTAGTTTAAGTCGAGCTTGATGTTTACGAAATGCTGCTTGAATTTTTGATGCTGATCTATCAACTAAAATTTCAAAAAAAGAAAAAAAAATATGTATTTATTTTCTTTTGATATTTTATTGTTTTTCTATATGAATATATATTGACCTGGTGATGTTCCTAATTTAGACACCATTTTCATTTTATCTGCTCTATCCGACATGGCTGCCACTTGAGGAACAATCTAAGTAGAAAGAAATTTTATCTTAATATAAGCAAATCTAATTGATGAAAAAAAAACTTTATAATTTGTATTAACACAATTAGCGTCATCTTGAAATACTAAATGAGAAAGTCGACTCTTAGCTTCGTGCCACATGTTGCTATTCGTACGTTTTTTTATTAATATTCAAAGTAATAAGAAAACATATCTCTACGTATCGATTATCATATTTTTTTTCTATTCTTTTTCTCATCGTTTTTCGATAAATTTCTTGTAAAAAAAAGAAAGATTCATTCATTCGAATATGGCGCCTGATGGCCTTCATCAATATTTGTTTCTATTAAATCTAATCTGTTCATCGATTTTTCCTTTTTATCTCTTGTCATAGTTCATCTATTGATTCATTTATATTGAACATTTATTGTACGACATGATGTATTCAAAATTGATTTATTTAATAACATTCTTCTATAATTGGTTGTTATTGTTTAGTTGCAAATTCTAATCAACATAAACATAATAATCATTTCTTAAAAAATAATGGTGAATCAACATCAGTATACAAAAGAAAAAAGATAAAAATGATAAACCAATTTTACAAGACCAACAAATTTCATTTTTTGTTTTTATTTTTCCATGAAAACAGAAAAGAAAAACAGTACGTCCCAAGTAATATAATAGAAGGTCATCATGCAACAAACATTATCTCAAGAGTACTGTATGATATATACAGATATAATCAACTGTCAATAGGACATAGATGAATTGATCCGACAATGGACAAAATGAAGAAGAATACTATTATATCTAAGCAGTCAAAGTACCGAAAGAAAAGATCTGATTAGATATGAATGCTTACCTGTGCTAATACTGGATGGTTCATGCTGTGTTGTTGTTGTTGTTGTTGTTTCTTTTACACGTGTACGTCGATGATGACAGAACAAAAATGAAATTTCATAAGCTTTTTTTTTTCTTCACGTTTTTTTTCTTTACTCTAACGCATTTATCTTGTCTTCCGTTCAAGGTTAAATTTTTACCAAATATATATCTAACGAACCGTTAGATTACAAATAGGAAAAGAATCTTAAAACAACCAAAACAACTATATGCATATGGCATAGAAAATGAAAACCAATTTCTACTAGGTTTTATTATTAGTTTTTTTTTTGGTATATAAGCAATACCAACCAGGAGATGAGAATCCGAGAGAAGTAATAAATGAGACAGAGACATAGAGACGTAGAGAGAGAGAGAGAGACAGAAACAGAGGAAGAACTGACAGTCTTTTACAACTCATTCCCCTTCCTTCTCTTCTTAATCAAGTGACGCGAAAAGAACAGAGAGCGAGAGAGAACATGATGCTTAGATTACGCGAACGCATAGAGCCGATTTTCATCTAACTTACACAGTATTACATATATACAACGAAGCTAAACCTTATAGTTATATAGAAAAGTCAACGTCAGCAATAAAGAAAAATCCTACTAGGCAGCGAAAATAGCCTAGCCCGAAACAATTCCGCTTTTCTTTCTTGCATGATAGCTCATCCAATGGGTGTCTAAACGGATGTGAATCACCCCCCAGATGCATATATAAAGAGAAAATAGTGTTTCCTTTTTTTTCTTCTGTTTCTGCTATGATCCATTATTCAATTTTTATTTATGCGTTATAAAGTGCACAATTATTTTGACAGCGATACAAAACAAAAGAGAAATATCTTTTTACACATATTTACATTTGAATAATATCAAATAAAAAAATAATTTTTGGGTTTGTGGATTATATTTAGCCTATTGTTTTTTTCTTTATAATAATAATCATTCTTTATTTATAACGAATAATGACATGTTTGTCATCATCATCATCATCATCATGACTTGAACTGTGACTACTGTTACTAGACGAAAAAATATTGCTTGATGATAAAGTGAATGAAATGAACTATAATTAGAACGATTTAAGATTGAATCAAATAATTATTTTCCATTATCTTTATTATCCTTTGTCTTCTTCTTTTTCTTTCAAATTGAATTTGATGTAATTGAGCCATTGTTTGCCTGAAATACAATAGAAAAGGGAGATTTTTCTACAGAAAAAGAAAAAGTAAAGAGTACGTCTTTCTTTTCTCCTCCGCATCTTCTTGATTTTGTCATAATTATTTGAAAAAATTTTCCATTAGTTATGAACGTAATAGCTGTTCAATATAATGTCTTTTAACATGTACATTCAATTTGCAACAATTTTTTTGACATTGTTCATTTCTACTTCTCTGTTCCGACGTAAAATAATATACAAGCTTTTATTTATGCCTTAATACAAGTTTTTAATAAATAATAATGTTTGTTTTTCTTTGTAGAAACTATTTGCATATTTTATTAACCTTATACATTTGAAAATTAATTAATATTCTCTATTTGTTCGATACATACCTTGAGAGCCGCTTTGTTCACCCAAACTGTCTTACAAATAATCTATTTCAAAAAGGTTAATTTACCAATACTTAATGTTTATGAATATATAATATATAATTTGAATAGACAGATTTTCTCATGTGAATATATTATTGTTAAAGAAAACTAATTTCCAGATCGGAAATGCATGAATGCCTCAAAAAATTATCAAATATCAAAAATATATTTCGTTAAATTAAAATTAAATATAATTGTTTGATATGATATAAAATTGAAATCTAAAAAGAACATTATTATGATAGACTTTTATTTATGCCTTGTTAATCTTTCGTCAAATCTTTATAATAATAAACATTATTATATCAATTTAATTTTTTTACGAATGACTTTCATCATTAATTGATGTTAATTATCTTCTTTCAACTTTAATAAAAAAAATAGAATCTTATATGTTTGTCTTTCTGATATTTCAGGGAAACTATTTTTCCTGTTATATGATTAAAATGGCATTGCGCTTCATACATTCATTTGAATGGTAAAAATTCCTGTCAACAAATCGATAATAAATGTCACATCAATCTTATCTTCTTTTTTCTTTCTTTTTTTTTTTTGAGAACTTTGATTATCTACTCTGTATCGAACTTATACATTGACGTACTCATTGAATGATTGTTATTAATCAAAATCATGTAAAAATTATTATTATGACTTTAACAGTTACATTCTCATTAATTAATTCTGAAAGACATGAATATAGAGTAGAATAGGAAAAATACTAATATCTATTTTTAGAATTATGAAAATTTTTATCTTATTTGATAATCTTTCGTATTATCAAATAAAAAACAATGTTTAAACGTCACATAAATACCAATTATAATAATCTCGAAACAAAAAGAAAAAAAAGATGAAAACATCAGTTCATAATAATATCCATGATTAAACAAGTTTAATAAAACAAAACAAAAAAAATGCTAATCTATTCAAATATTGTTATTCAACAAAAAAAAAACAAATAATATTAAATTAAGAAAAAAAAAAAAACATATGAATTATTTTTTTACATCTTTATAAGCAATAACAAACATTTGTGGTACATCAAATTCTGGTGAATAACCACTATTATAAGATGAATCTTCAAATATTATACTATAAGAATCTTTTCCTATTCTTGGTATACTTTCAACAATACCTTTATAAAAACATGATGTTTGAGGATAAAGTGCAAGTACAATAGTACGTCGTGAAAATAATGCTTGAGGACATGTTAATGGACAAGCACGCCATTGTGGTAATGGTATAATATGTCGTTTATTTATATTATAATAATGTCCTTTACCTGGTTCAGCATCAATATCAACAATATCATATTTTGTTTTATTTGGATGTACATAAGCAACTTCAGCTAATATCCAATTTTCATCACCATCATCACTTTCAACAAAACCTGCTATAAGATCACCAACATTACATACATGATTAGATGCAGCTGGTATAGCACCACATAATGGTGGTGGAGCATCACTCTACAAAAATGAAATCATTTATAAATTTGTATACAAATATTTTAATGAAATATAAATTTGATTCTTCATATCATTTATATAGTCTAGTAGAATAAATATTAAAATAATAGTTATATGTATTTCAAATGAAATTCGACCAACAAACATAGGAAAAAAAACACGAGTTCATCATATATGAAAAGAATATTTTTGATTGTTTACAAGGTGTTGTGTAAAATTACAAATTTACTATTGTAGACTTTCATGCATGAATTATTTTCTTACAATGTTAGAATTTTCATCAAATCGATATTTCGCTTCGATAATCATAGTTTGATTACTTTACTATAGATGAATTTCATGAAATATAAAAATTAAAATGCGTTATTATAATAATTTGATGAGTATATTAGATTAAGATTGATCTCGTAACCAAAGCTATGACAGCAGAGGAAAAGCTTAGCCTTCTGATCCGTATTATGCAACACTATGTTTAATTTTGTAGAAAGTCTATTGAAATTAATTTTCAAGATGAATTTTTTTGTTGAACTTACTTTATTTGAACAATTTCCTGTATGTTCATTTCCATACCAAATTTTTAAAACATAAGCCATATGTGAAAGAAGATCAGCTAAACCTCTTCGTGTTGTATGACTACGATGAATATCAATATGATTTTTAGTAACATTAGCAATATCAATTTGTAATTGACGAATTTGAGAAATTTTTGATAAAGTTTTTTTATAAATATCAATTTCATTTTGAACATTGGTAAGTGTTTGTGTAAAATTATTTTTTAATAATTGTGAATTTGTATTTTCATCCGATGATAATGAAGATTTTTGTTCAATTGAAAGCCATGAATCACGACTTGCATTATAACAATCTTTTGTTTGTTTAAGATCATCTTGTAATTCAAGTAAAAGTTTTTGTATTGTTAATTCATTTTGATTTATAATATCTTTTGGTTCAGTTGATGATGATTGTGCTATAGCTGATGATGATGAAGATGATGTATGAGATGGTGAATGTTCAATATTAGTATTTGTACGTGTCATTATAATTTAAGTAGAAAGATTTTGCTTATTGAAAACAAAAATCAAAACTTTATTTATTTTTTTATTGAGAGAAATGTTTGATTTGAAAATAAATGTTCATCCATTTAAGTCTTTGTTGTGCATTATTTGACAGAAGGTACATAATGGATAACCAATCAGAATTAGAACACCCTGGTCAAGTTGTAACTATAAGATACCATTACAAAACTTCATGAGTTATAACTTCACATTTGATACGATCCGTACTCAATGACAAATTAAGAATTGATTTTGTTTCTTGAGAAAAAATGCGTTGATAAAAGCTGAAGCGACTAATAGATGATATTAATGTGAGTTAGATTGATCACATGTGTATGAGCTTCATACGTTTGAATGTTAGTTTATAGAATTGATGATCAAATATCATCGAAAAAAAACTTTACGATTATTTTTCCTTCAAAACTGATTTAACTTAACTATTTATAAAGCTAAAATTTAATGAAAGAGATAGTCTCAATTAATTTACATTTCTAATTTTATTCAACCGAATTATTCAAACACGAAAGTTGTCGCAATATGCATGGAAACAGATTAATCTAGAAAGAATTCCGTATTTTGAATTTTAAATCATAATGTTCTGCTAAGAGTTTCCGCTTTTTATTAGTTGACATGCAATGATCAAGGCAACAAAACGCACAAAAAAAAGAAACTTGAGCATCATTATGAATTTCTACCATTTTCATGAACTTATTCAGTCGTTAGAATGATATATCAAGCTCAACATAAATTACTACTAAATAGTATTTTTCAGTAGCCGATTGCGTACTATAAGACTTTAGTACTGATGTATCTATTACTCTATTTCGTATATCTTAAGAAAATCATGACTGTTCCCATGGAAATCATCTTATAAAACATCGATAGATCGGTACTCTTATTATAAACTACTACAGATACCATATGAATAAATTGAAACAATGTTCATGAAGACTCGATTGAATTAGTCCCACACCAGGGATGCCATCTCGTCAAGCCAGAAAAACGGAAAGCACAGTGAGAAAAAGCGGAAACAAAACGTAAAAACACGGAAAAATTGCGGAAAGTTGTTTTCTGTTGGATTTTCACATTCCTATGAGTTCCAATAACTTTTTGCTTCTGTCCATGTTTCTTCGTTATTTGCAAAGCTCCAAAGCACAATAAATGGCACATAAAAAAGATGAATATTTTATTAAGTACATCATTTTTTCAATGCAGCTACATTTACTGTTTCAATGGATTTCGGTTTGAAAATATTTTTGATACAGCAGATGTGTATGCAAAATTCGTGTGACATTGAAGTATTTCAACGAATCTGTATGTCTGCAGTGAGTGAATCGATTGATATTCGATTGAGGAAATGATTGAATATATGTATCGTTTTCGAAAAAAACACTTTGGGTCATAGCGTTGTTTTCCAGAATAGAACACAGAATGAATCATATAGACAACAATAGACTGCTAGCAAGAGCTAACAAAAGACCTGTATCAAAGTCAGTTTCGGAATCAACTAAAGTTCTTGAGAACAACTAATTTTTAACACTAGAATTTTTGTGCCCTTTAAATTTTATTCTTTGATGGGCATTCTACAAACTGATGTACTTTGAAGGTTCAATCAACGACATAACGAGGTCTACGGACACGAAGAGAAAATTGGAGTCGAAAAGCTCGAAGTCGAAATTGATTCAGACTTCTTTTACGTGTTCGCAGATCCCAATGTGACGTTGATTGAGCCTTCAATCTGCATCAGTTTTTAGAAAACTTATTCAAGAACGAAATCTACAAAGTACGAAAATTCTGACTTTATGAAAGGATTATTGACAAGAAATTTAGTTCACTTCGAAACAATTCTGACGTTGATTCTGATGCAAATCTCTACAGCTAACATAATCTATATCGTAGTGACGGATTTTATTGTCTCAAATTTTTCAATAAAAAATAAGCTAAAGTTTTTTATATTCAAAAGTGGAAGAGGTGGCAACCCTGTCCCAGACCGACAAGATAGATATATCCATATAGGTGCAATTAGATATAAATGTATTTTCAGTAAAATCATAGATAAATAAAAGCGATGACTTCAGATATGAAAGTAATTCCTTGCATGAAACAAATTTTTTTCTTCTATAAAATTTAGTTTTTATATATAAAAGAAAAACCGGTTTTAAATATGCTACACTTGTCTAATGAAGTTCACTGTATATGTATATTTTTATTACTACAAGTTTGTAATTCTATGTGCTTTTGTTCTTTAATACTAAACTTAAAATTTTATTTGAAATTTCAAATCATACTAGAGTAGACGAAATGAAAATTATATCCATCATATATTGATATGTTTGTACGGAACTAGTGTATTTCTCTGAATGATATTCTGTGTCTTCTTCCTCATGTTTGGAATACAACGTGTGTGATATATATATAATATAGAAATCTATAGAATTATTTACCATAGGTTATATATGCGCTATTTCTATTGCAAAAAATAATTAATGTCACATTGTTCAAAAAAGTGATTTTAGTTAATCATAAGCATCTCTTTGGAGTCGTTCTTGCACTCCTAGTAATTATAAAATCATATCTTCGTATATACAGCATTGGACGATCGATCAAACAATTTCAATAATCTAATAAAAATGATCATCACTTCTAAAAGCATCTTAGTTAGAAGAAATATGCTCATAAACCATTTTAAATCGTCATATATTGATGCTCCGTGTTACAATCGTATTTCTGTGTATACAATGCAGTAAAGACGGTCGCATGCGATAAAAAGGAAGTGTTATACGGATTTCCTATCCTTCGTCCTTAGATACTAATTTTCAGTTAATTTTAGTTTTGATGTGTGAGTTCTTCTTTTGTCATTTTACGCAGTCGTTTGTACCACTGTAATTATAGCTATCATATAATAACTGTGTTACAGACAAATATAAGTGAATTCATGTTTCTAGACCTTATACTTTCAGCCTATGGAACATAAGAGTAATTTTCTAGTAGCTATTATGTTACTTTTATATAAAATCACAATCTTCTTTCAGCGTATGACTACGAACATCTATGTAACATATTTATGTTTTTGTTTTTATATTTTTAAGTTTACCATCTCCAGGAATGCTTCGTTTTTTTGCTAACTGTATGTATGTTTTTAGTCTACAAGAAAACTGGCACAGGGATAAAAGAACTATTTATTGTAAAGATGAAACAATAATTTATATTCTGTTGTCTGGAAAATTTTCAGAATACCGAATCGAGTTTGATGTTTTAAAAATATTCATATGAAAAATTTATTGTCGAATTCGTATGGACATTCCTCGAATATACTTTTCTGTTATCCATAACTCATTTTCATATTTTACAACGAAATTGGTATTTAATGACACTTTCAAGAGTACTTTGAGTTCTTTGCTTAGAAGCGATGATATATTTCTTACATCGACACTTCATACCTGTCGCTGTTATTGGTGATGAGAAAAGTTTATGTTAAAAAAACCGTTGCGGCATCATAATTCCTTCGAATCTTTATCAAAATAGATGAATACTCTGTCGTTCATCGTTTTCTTTTTCTTGATATCTGAAGAATCATTCATGTTTTCCGAATAGTAGACACAGATTGCTTATGGACTTCGTTTCAGGTCTAATTCTACAAACATTTTCGACTAGATACATACGCTATTGGATATATGAAACCTATGGATCGTGCACATCTAGAAGTGGAAGCGAATCAGCTGCATTCACATCAATGTAGTTGCCAGCCAAGAAATGGGCACTGTGGTTTCAAAATCTCTTTATACCGAGATTTAGTTTAGGAAATATTTTTCTTTCATTTCTTAACAGTCTATTCGACATCATCATTATCTCTATTTTTCAATGTAAACATTTTCAGGAATAAGAAAGTTTCCAAATAATCCTATCTACATCATGAGAAATTTAAAAATGATAGCGTCAAATAAAAAAAAATGAAAATCTTAGCGAACACTGATTTTTCGGTAATTCGTTTGATTTTAAATTTTAGCGATATAGATTGAATAGTATTCAATAGACTTTAATGCATTTCTGTTCGGTTAAACTCATAAATTCAACAAAATTACAGAGACAGATGAAAGTAAAAAGTTCTTGACGGAATGCAATCAAATTGGAAGAAAAAAGAAAAGAAAAATATAATCTCAATTTTCTCCGACATTATTTTGCTTACAGTTTTTACCTTCACATTGGCATTCATTATATAGATAGAATGGAAGAAAAAAGACGATAGTAGTAATAATAAAAATGCATTTGTGTGTATTTTTGCTTCGTTGATGTGTTCATTGTTAATATACTTTTTGGTTGATTTCTCTTTGTCGTTATGGTTGCACGTTCCTAAGAAAGCCAAGAGAAACATAATGCAATCAACGTTACGAATAATTTTTTTCTGTGAAACAAACTTCTGCATATGCATAAAGACACCAATCATGCATAACGAAGACATTTTTATTTTGGTTACTTTTGAATGAAAGAAAAAAGAATTCATGCCTTCAACATCGCAATCGTTACTTACAGCTGCATAGTCCATTAATACAAGAAAAACCAACAAATATAAGAGCTATGATTATCGTAACAATGTTCATCATTCATTTTTAAAAAAATTTGAAGTTATGAAAAATGTTACAAAAAATACAAACGATACTTCTCATTATTTATTAATCCTACGTAAACAAATATAACTCTTTTCCGTATGTGCACAAGTAGAAAGTGTTGATAAGTTTTACGATTCTATTGTACGCTGATAATATTTATCGTTTTCAATGTATCATATATAAAATAGACGCTAATAGTATCAACAATTCAACATCAATTTCTGTAAAAAAAAAATGTGTTGTCTTATACTTTCCTCATCAATATGCACATGTGATAAGCATAGTTTTATATAGTGCACGTATAAATAGTGTAAACGCTACCCGTTGATATTGTAGTGCATGCAAACATTCAGCAAATTCTGAATGTGACCAAAC